TTGTTCCAGCTCCTGCCAACCTAGCAGTTCAGAAACCTGCAAATACGAGTAGATGAATAGGTAACATCTTGGTGGGAAGGTAACAGTGTTCCGTGTCTAGTCATGCCAGCCATGTGACTATAAAAAGTGTTTATGCCAGCTCTTCAGCTTACAAATTGGGATAAGCACTGGCTCCTAGAGTCTGACATGACTTAATTGTCAAGGGAAACCTTTATTTTTACCTTTACCTCTCAGCTTAGTCCAGTATCGTAACCAAAATTGTCACCTTTTTTTTCATTATAATAATGATCTGAGAAGATCTCAGAGCAAATAAAACACCAAATAATAAGCAATGTGGGTATCTTACAGCTGTATTTGTGTTTTTCTTGTGGTCTGTCTGAAGTGGTCCTAAGCAGCTGCAAGGTGCTTTGTACATTAAACCAAGAAGGCCCATCTGTATCAATATTAGCCTGGATACTTTATGAAATCATACAGAAAGAGTCTTGATTATTCTGATATCATTTTACCTTTGGTAGGGACACAGAAGCCAAAAATTAATTGGACATGCAGGATTTTCAATGCAAGAGGCCAGATCCTGAGGGCGATGCCTGCTCCCAATGTTAAAGGATGTCAAATAAGCAAGATTTTTTTCAAAACATTTTGGACAAAGCCTGCATTAGTAAAAGTAAAAATAAAGTATGCTCCAGAAAGGGCAAGTGTCCAAATTACTGTTTCAGTTAACAGTGAAAAGCCTCAGCCTGCTTACCAGGCACAAAGGAAACCAAAAGGCTAGGGCAGAGAGGTGGATTAACTTGTTTTAGACAAATAATAAAAGGTTAATACCTGGCCTTTGCTGAATCTCTTTTCCTCCTTAGAGTTGGAGTGTTTGCTTCCCAGAGCCCTAATTGAAAGAAGTCTTCTGCCATTGACTTCTAAACATGTGTGTCTCATTTGTGTGTTCAGCCCCTCTTGTTGTCTTCTAGAGACTTCTTACCCACCTGCTCATAAAACTGTAAAATGTTATTTGGCATGTTTTGATGCCAACATGTGGCAACCCTATGAATAAGTAAGCCCCCAAATACCTTATCATTAAGAGCCTTACTCAGCTCTTCCAGGCTCGAGGCCATAGCTTCCTTTGTTGTCAACCCATCTTCCACTTTTTCTTTCATCTTCCCCTAACTTCCTCACCTTTTCCAGTGAGATTTGTCTTCTTTTGTGCCCAAAGTATGGCAGCCTTAGTTTAGTTTTTGCTTCTAGTCACTAGTGAGTTTATAAATTTCCATAAATAAATAATGTTAATAACTACTGCCCTTTTTAGAATGGATCCCCTGCTCCCCAGCCTTCTGCTTTTCCTCCCAGAATGAAGGAGGGTTCTGTTCATGTTAATCTGATCGACCAGTGGTTCACTACCTTGAGTAACTCAGATGTTCTTGGACTGCAGTTCCCAGAAACCCTGGCCAGCTCAGCTGATGGTGAAGGATTCTGGGAGTTTCAGTCCAAGAACACCTGGGTTACCTTAGTTTGGGGGCCACTGTGTTAAGCAAACCAAAAGTAAATGTTTACAGATGCATGGGGAATCCTTCTCTTCAAAATTCTGGAAGTTGTTCTTTTCAATTTGTGCCTGTAGTGGCTTGCTCACAAGTGAACCCATCATACTAAATACTACTGCCTACTGCTAAGCTTCACTTGAGGGATGGCTTTGTTGCTGCAGTCGAGAAGGCAGTCTTTTTTCACTTGGTTTGATAAGCTCTTTGGGACCCTTCCTTGTGAAAAGTGCTGGATTAATGTGAGGCTTCCATATGTTCCATAACTGTTCCCTGCTGTTGAGATTTCATTACCATTTTACAGGGCCCAAATGCATGCTAGACACTCCCCTGACCAGGCAAACTATACAAGGAAGTGCCCAAAGCACTTAACATTTAAATTTGTACATAGTGCAGCAAAGAATGGGTGAGTAAAACACACACATGGAAAAGGCATGCTGGGGTGATAAGAGTATGTTATTGTTCACCAGAGATGAGTACACTCCGCATTGTTTAGTTTTAAAAGGTAGCGTACCAGTTTATTCCAAATGTAGATTATGCCAAGGGTTAGAGGTGTAGATTATGCTCTGGTTTTGCTTTTAGAGCTTCAATTTTGTTTCAGAGCAAAAGGAACTGAGCCTATTCCCTCTTCCCTTGGTAGCATTAAAGAAGAGTAGTACTTGGCTTTTCACTGTACTAGTGTAGTGAACTATAGAAAATAATTCTCAAACACTAAAAAGTGATGTATTGAATATATTAAAAGTACAGTAATGATAATAATTACAGTAATCTAGATCAAAAACCAAGATTCTAGATGTTTCTAAAAATCCTCACCAATAGAATTTAAGCTCACATTGTGGAAAAGCCACCACCGAAGGGTATTTTTTAAAGGTAAGTAATGCAAACCACTTGCTACCATATTGCCCATCATTTTGCCTTTTTCACTAAACTAGGCTGTTAACTACTTCAACTTGGTAATTGGATGGTAAGCTCCGGTATTTATTATCTTGTTTAGCAATCCTAATGTTACTTTTAGGATCTAAGGAGCATTAAATTAGATAATCTGGAAAGGAGAAATTCCTTGCAACGGAATGTGAGGGTTCAACAGACACTGGGGACACTCCCTTTGGAAAATCATAACTATGTTTTATTGGAACATGTAACAGCAAGTCCGTATGCTCAGACTTAACTTCTGCATTGTCTCTCGTTTCCAACGGGTCCCACGAGGGCATCCAAACATCTTTATTAAAGGGGTGACAGTTTGAGTCATTCCAAGGTCCCTTCGCAAATGGGTTACTGCTTTCTATCTCAGCAGCTCCTCCCTCAGGGTTTAATAACGGGGTGGTCTCTTCATCTCGCCCCTCCGACTCATAAGGGTCTTCCTCTCCTCGAAGAGGGGCCCCTGATCTATCAGGTATCCCCTCATCTGGGCTTCCTCCAGATGCCATAACTGACACTCATTTTCCTCCCTTTCTACTGCCTCTTTCTCCCTGAGCCACCTGTGCCACTCTTTGACTTCCAACTCACCCCAGTAGGAAGGACACAGTGGCAGCCCCCTTTTCCATCTGTAATCAGCTTCTTCCCTAGGGACCTAAACCTTCTCCCATTTTCCCGTCCATGAGTCCTCTACCCATATCATTTCCCAACCTCTTGGTATTACGTCCACCTCCCCTTTTATATCTTCCATTCCCGCCTCTATGACGGACCTCCTCCTTTCTCTTCTTCCTGCCAAGTCACTCCCAGTCTGAGTGGCCACTGTCATCTTTGGCAGTTCCCACTCTAATTCTTGGGTATCAACTCCCCGCTTTATAGTCTCGACAGGTGGTGTGGGTGGGTCTGTCTGCACCTCTTGTTCCTTTTTTGAGGGAGGACGACACTCCGGCGAGAACCTCTACCCTCTTGCCTCACGTCTCACACTGAAATAATAAATCAAAATCAGACATCTAAACATGGGTTCTGAGAAACTCAAGATAATATTTCAAGACATTCTTTGGTAGAGCATACTACCAGAGGCAATGGAAATGACTTATACATTGCTTCCATATTGTGAGACCTTAGTTTGTTTGTTGTACAACATACTTGTTTGCTTTCTTCTTTCCGATACTGAAAAGTCTTGTGTATATTTTCCACTAAAGACCAATTGCCATATTAGCTCTCATTTTTTCTTGATACCATCTTAAGAATGTGGTCATGATGGTTTTCCCCACACCTCTTGTGGAAGAGAAATCTGTTCTTTATTCTTGTTCAAAAAACATTTTAAAGGTGTTTTCTGCTACCAAGTGCATTCATTGCTTATGGGAATGATTCAACCTTAGTTTGAGAAAATTAACTGTTTTTTTAAAAAGCTGATTTAAAATGACATTTTTAGACAGGACAGCTCTATAAAATGAAAGCCTCTTTTCCCTTCCCTGATGCAGATGAAAAGGACACTTATCCTTCCTGTTCAGCCATAAATTAAAAGGTTATTGTAAGCATGCACCTAGAAAGCCAAAATCTGTGTTTAAATAAAATTTCAAATGAAGATATTCTTTACAACTAAGCTTAATTTGACTCACCATGCAGACAAATGAATTTGAATATTCATGATTGCACTTATGATCACTCCCGACTTCAGTCTCTTGAATATTTCCAGAGACAAAAAGCAGTTTTGTTGGCAAGGAAGGACTCATTTGAATCATTATTTAGAAAACGTCAGTTGCTAGCACTCCTTTGTTTTAAGGATTCTGTTTCCAACACTAGCAGATCCAAATAGAATACTACAAGAACATCACTACAGTCTCTTATAGGCATGTGTGAAAATAAGTGTTCCTGCCAAGTTCTTATTCCATAGTAGAAAGAAAACTTAACCTAGTTTCTTAGGAAAATAGACTTAATTCCTTTGGAGACTCTCAAATGAATCTAGCCTTTGTGTGATTGTCTTGTGCATTCAACTTAAGATTTATCATAGAGCTTAGTGTCTTCCAAATAAGATGAAACAAGAGGAATATATTTGAAACTGGTCTGTGTCACAGTAGGGGAAAAACCTTGACACTCAGATGTAGGTAGTCCGTATCAAAATATACCAGAGGCTTAAGTCTATGCCTCATCACTCCCGTGTAAATGAAATGGGGAAGAGGATAAGGGGGCATGATTCAGAAAGACTAATATTCCAAGCCTTCCCTAATGCGCAGCACAGCCATGTAAGAAAAGTGGAAAGTAGCCAAGTACTGTTTTTTTCTGCCATAGGTAATACTGATACTTGCCAAGGTGCTAGTGATTAAGGCAACACCAACCATGTGAAACTTCAGTGAACTGTACCTTCTGAAGAGGTGCAGCCTGTTTCTTTTTATCAAACCTCTTAGAATAATTAAACAAATGTTAAGATTGTTCCATTTAATCTTATGGTACCCCAGTTTTTACTTGTATTAAATTTAAAAAGAGCTCTTGGCTATCATTCAGATTTGCATTTTTTCAGTTGCCAGTTTCATTCATAGATTGCTTATCTGTTTTTCTTCACAGATACCTTACCCGATATTCTATCAGATCTGTGGATCCCATCTATAACAAGGGAAGAAAATGGTGCAGAGTTGGTATGCCTGTGTCACATCCTGCATTAAAAGACAATATTTATTATGGATCAAAGCCACCTCTTTTTTACCACTAAAGGTAGAGAGATTCTTTTGTGTTAGCATCAGATTGCAGACCACAATGCTTTGCCTCAGAATTAATTAAGTACATTGACGTTCTATATAGTCTGAGAGGCAAGTTAATTTTTTCTCATTATTATTTGTTAGAAGCTTTCAGGAAGTAGTGAACGATCAGTTTAATGTTTAAGAAGCAGATTGTTATTTAACTGTAAGAGAATCTCATGTATTCAGGATAATAAAACTGTTTTTAAAAATCACTGTTATATTTCTGAAATAAATTCATGTCACATGTAATTTCAGTTCTTCTTTTAGCCTCTATATTCTGCATTCTACCAGTAAATGACTATTTCATTCATTGTTGATCAAGTAGAATATGTCATAATTCATAGTAACTTGTGTGGTAAATGTCAGTAGGTGGTACATATCACCCTTAGCACAATCTTGTTGATTTCAAAAGCTTTGCAGAGTGGGGCCTGGGTAGTGCTTAGATGGGAGACCACCAGCAAATATCAAGAAGTTTCTTGGTAGGGCTAGGAAAGAACCTTGCCTGAAATCCTGAAGAACTGGTGCCAGTCTAAGCTGATAGTACAGTACTAGGCTAGATGAACCAGTGGTCTCACTCAGTATAAGGCAGCTTCTTCTGTTCCAAAGTATCTGCAGCTGCATTACTTGCTAGTGGACACTTAATATGAAAATGCTTCCAATGCCCAGGAAATATACAAGAGTAAAAAACTGCACACAGGAAGAATGCCTACAGCAAAGTTATGTTCCCCCTAATGTAGGGAGGGATCTTGCTAAAGTGAGACTGAAAGTATAACGGGGTGTCAGATCAAAGGCCTGTCTAATCTGGCATTCTGTTTGCATCATGGCAAACTAGTTGCCACCGGGAAGTCCATAAGCAGGACTTGAGTGCAACAGCCCACTCCTGCTTATACTCCTCGCAGGTGATGTGCAGAAGCATACCAAGAAGAGCAAAGCCTGGACAGAAGAGAATAGAACAAAATAGTCACCAAGCTGCTACAGCTGTCCGTTTAGAAATTACCTGAGTCTCTGCTGGGAATGTGCTTATAATTTGCATGATTTTGGTGCTAGTATTTACTGCCACTGCTTGAGGCAGCTGCCAACAGTTTTGGGATGGTTGCAGTCAATAACTGAAGACTTCAATAGTTAAAGAGATCTACAGAAACAATATAGTTCCACCTTACCTTAATCTTTAATTACTAACTGAAGTAGGGTTTTTTAGTTGCACTGTTTTCCTGTTCTTCAGAAGATCATGTTTCAAAGTGTTTTACATCAACAAAAGAGAAAACATCCAAGTTATTAGCTTCACAGGCTATTGAAAGGAAACATTCAAAGGAAGGGGACTGTGGGGAAAAGGAAATGGAGTTTTATCCATTCTTCAAGGTGATGTACAAGCAGGCACCTCCAGTTCAAGCCAGTATGGTGTTCTCTTGCCTGTGTACTTGCTTGAGTAATAATAATCGGTGGTTGTTAGATGGACCACAGTACTCTTTCTCCATCTGTGGTCTCAGGATTATGAAGAATTGGAACTGCATGCTTTCTCTAACAGCAAGGGAGGTATGACAACATACAAAAGGTAAGTTTCCCTTTCCACTTATAGCATGAGTCCTAACATGTCCTAAGGAAGTATTCTGGGGACTCAGGTTTGTGAAGGTTCATGTATGTGGGCTTCCCTTTTCTTAAATAAATCTCCAGACTCAGTTTTACAAAAACGATTTGTGTCATTTATTAACTCAACCAATGGGGTTCCACCTTTAACATGTTCGCTTGTTTGAGTCTTGTTCGAGCAACGGTTCTCGCAAGGGTAACCATAAATTCTCTTCAAAAGGGTTAACCGTATCAACGTTCCAAGGTCCAGCAATCACCCATTCTGGATCAACATTCTCGAACTCGGGTTCGGTCTGGTTCAAAAGCGGGAGGGTCTCTTCATCCCCCATCCATCCCCACAGCGGGGATCCCTCTCCTTGTGAGTTGCCCCAAGGTCCAGAAAACACCCCATCTTCCGCAGTTCTTCTAGATGCCATGCCCGGCGTGCTTCGTTTTCTCTGGCGATGGCTTCTTTCTCCTCCCTAATCTTCTCCCTCCATTCCCAGGTCTCAGACTCACCCCAATAGGAAGGTCTCTGGGGTAAGCCGCCTCTTCTATGGCTCTCTGCTTCAGCCTTGGGCACCCAAACCTGTTCATTTCCCTGTCCAAGGGTCCTGCATCAGTTTCCCAACCACTCTGGATAATGTTCCGGGCTGTATTTCACCTAACCCCCCTTCTTCCAGAGCCCGCCCTTTCTCCTCTTTTCCCGCCATTTCTACCTTAGATGGAGTAGGCACCCTTAACCCTTTCAACTCTTTCTCTAAGTCTTGGGTATCCACTGTACAGAATATCCCTTTTTCCCTCATGCTCTTCTGCTCCAGCTCTCGGGTGTCTATCCCTTGGTCTTTCTTTCGGGGTGGGGTAGGAGGTGGGGTTGTTTGAGTCCCTTTGGATGTCTTAAGGAGAGACGGCTCCACCAGAAAGACCTCTTGTCTCTGATCTTTCCCTTCATAAGGTTGAACAAGCGGAAGGATGTTTTAAAAATATACACACAACATATATGAAGGATATTCTTCAATTACTCTTCATTGTGCTGCATTGTATACTGGACATTCCTCATTTCTTTTTGGCAGTGAGTACAATAGGATGCTTGTGCTAATATATAATGCTGATGCTCTGAAACAATTTGTAGGGAGCCTGTGCATTTTTATGCTTAGACATGGTTTATCTTTCAGAGCCACTGACAACTTACTGGATCAGCATAGATTTATGCAATGGGCACATGATCACTGTGAATGCACACTGCAGGTGTCCATGCAGTATGTACTGTGTTTACTTGTGCCATTTAAAAAAATACAGTATGATTGTGCCACTGGCTAGTTTTATGCAACTGGAGGAAAATGTTCGCTTTTCAAATACACACTGGCCAAAATCCTGTTAGCTGTGCCCACTAGTGTAACACAAAATGGTGTAACCTTTGGAGGTGAAGTTGCAAGTTAGCACAGACTGAGTGTGCAACTTGGCGTGCCACAACTAACATCTTAGATCCTCTTGAGGAGAAAAGTAGGGTGTCTGCATTTTCAATCAATCTACACTGATGGTTTTTTGGGTTCTTTGGCCATGTTCGGAAGGTTGTTCTTCCTGACATTTCGCCAGGCTCTGTGGCTGGCATCTTCAGAGGATTGGAGTAGGACCTCTGTCCGTGCTCTGTTGCTGTTTGTTGGATAGTTGAGTATAGCTGTGGGAACAGCATTTGTCTTTTTTCAGGTGATAGGGTGATCAGCATGTTTTTGTGACAAAACAGCAACAGAGCATGGACAGAGTTCCTACTCCAGTCCTCTGAAGATGCCGGCCACATAGACTGGTGAAATGTCAGGAAAATCCCACAACAACCATCAGATCCCAACCATGAATGCCTTCAAGAATCTACACTGACTGTAACTTGCAGCAACTTACTCTCCAAAGTTTTACCTGCATAAAATTACACAAAGATTTTGGCCAGTGTATTTGAAAAGTGAGCATTAAAAGAAATGTGGAGGCCAAGAGCCTATCAAATTCAAATCTCTCAAACTGTAATCATGTGACACCACATCAGTTTCATTTTCTGTCGGAACATAAACCATGTGCTATAACAGGAGACCTGACTGAGATTAGGATTTTGAGTTTCCTAATTCTAGTTAGTTTTCATTTTTGAAGGAGGCGAGACAGATAAGGAAGGAACCTGATTTTATTTAAAGAATGAGCGACCTCTTGTTACTTTACAGAGGTGTTACCTGGTTTAAACAGATTTTAACATTTGCACCTGGGGAGAGAAACTGGTTTCATGTGCATTTATTAAAACAAAAAATATATACTCAGTTTCAAGTATAAAATTAGTATATAACTGTCCTTAACTTCCAGCTTCTGTGTGATCCTTATAACATGAAGGGCAAGTCTATGTTCTTCTCTCCATTGCCAAAGTAGATATAACCATGTTGCTTAGTGTTAGGAATGTGGTAGAATGTAAGTCCAAGCCAGAGCAGACTTCGCAGTATTATCACTCTGCCTCCCCTCTCCACTTGGATGCTCCAGGATCCTACACAAAAATAAAGGTGATAGGTTTCACAACAAGCAACTAAAAGACAGTTTTTTGCAGTAAGTTGAAATAAGATCATGTGCATTCAGCAATCACTAGAAACTATATGGGAGGACAGACATTTCTTAGACTGAATCAAATTGGCTTGCCTGTTAGCAGGAGAGGGAGTCTTGCCATGATATTTTCTTGGATCAGCTCTGTAGGTTTTATGGCATTTCACATGTGTATATATATATATAGGACAGGGTCCACAAAATAGCACTGGGGGAATTATATAAAAGCCTAGATGTCTTGCTGTGGAGAGCCTAAAGGTACCAAATTAATATTGGTGCTGTTTAATTTCTATAGAAGGCTATTGGGCACAATCATAATGGAAGATCATAGAATTCTGATGGTGCTCAAATCTCTCTCTTCCTTGTATCTGAATCGGAAGCAGCCATACATAACCCAGAGTAGTCCAGAACTCAACTGTAGGGTGAGTAAGATCAAGAAACAGCCCCAGTAAAATAGACATACTGTAATGTGGATGAATGATTCCAGGTTTGAGAATTATCAGTTCTGAGTAAGGTTATACTTCTCCTGGAACATCTAGAGGCCCAAGTTACTATCAAGACTACAAAGCCTTGCTACCCATGTGCAGAGTCTACAATCTGAGCCTGTACTTGGACAAGACTAGCCTGGCCACTGTATCCCACACACTGGTAACCACAACATTGGATCATTGTCTTCGGCTCTATCTGATAATGCCTTTAATTTAGAAGCTGTCAGAAGTCTATAAAGCAACTGCTAAGTTGCTATACTGTATACATATGACAACTTTGATGAAAAAAACTATACTGGCTGCTAATATGATATCAAACTACATTTAAGACATTGGTACTGGCATACAATACAGAGGAGAAGGGGATGACAGAGGACAAGATGGTTGGACAGTGCCATCGAAGCTACCAACATGAATTTGACCAAACTCTGGGAGGCAGTGGAAGACAGGAGAGCCTGGTGTGCTCTAGTCCAGGGGGTCACAAAGAGTCGGACACAACAACAAATCCCTACTTTTACCTCCCTTTGATGGAGAAAGCTGTGGTAAAATTATTTTAAATTACAATGGTGCCTCGCTTAACGATTACCTCGTTAAATGACGAAAACATTTGACGATGAGGTTTTGCGATCGCAAAACGATGTTCTAATAGGAAAAATTCGCTTCACGATGTTCAGTTCCCTGCTTCGCTAGACAACGATTTTACAACAGCTGATCGGCAGTTCGAAAATGGATTCCTCGCTATACAAGCACCGGAAAATGGCCGCCCTATGGAGGATCTTCGCTTTACGATGAGGTATTTAGCCCACTGGAACGCATTGAACCAGTTTTCAATGCATTTCAATGGTATTTTTCGTTTCACTTGACGAGGATTTCACTTAACAGTGATTTGAACGGAACGAATTATCCTCGTCAAGCGAGGCGCACTGTAAATAAAAATTGCAGACTTCATGTTAGCTCATTAATGTTAACACATCATTTCCAATATCTGGATATATATGTGGTCTATAACTTTGGGGGAAAGAAGCTTTGCTAATGAATATGCAAGGGGAAAAGTAATCATATAACTCATCAACCATGGTTTTTTGGAACAGAAAGACTAATAATTCAGTTCCTACCTATACTTCTCAATTCATGGCCTTTTGATATAAATGCATTCAATTTATCATGTTCTATACAATGAAATTGCATATATAATTTAGCAGATTAAAACCAGCAGCAAATGATTCAGATGCAATAAAGGAACAATTAAATATTTGCTTTCAAAGTTACAGTTATGTTTTCTAAGATCATTATTAAAACTGCTGGATTGCTTAGTGGTTTAGGTATCCAGAGGTTGGGAGTTTGATTCTAAACTATGCCTCCTTGATAAAGACTAGATTCGATCTATAGAGCCCTTTCCAGCTGTGCAGTTCTGTTGTTGTTTTCTTGCTTTATTTATAGTCCGCCTTTCTCCCTATAGAATTGTTGTCAGAATTACACTTTTAACAACACAGTTATGATGGTATTTATACTTTGGGGACATTTTTATCCCAAAAATCATGCCATTTTCACTCCATGTTGGAAAGGAAATATACAATACACTTCCCTTGCTATAAATGCAGTATAATCACCATAAAACAAAATCTATGTTGCAGTAATACTTTCATTAAGCCACCTGAAAAAGTGCAAAGGTAACAGCAAGCTTCCAAGGGCTCCATATCTCTTCCTGGGACAAAGAAGTTATGTAAAGCAGTTGGGGATGTTACAGAAATCAGGCAGAGAGAAACTGTTGTGAGGGGGGATAACTTGATGATGTGGGGGGGGGGCAATCACAAAATGGCAAAACGCTTGGCAATAACAGCAGGGTGTAAAATTTCCAACCATGCTGCAAGGAATGGTGCATGAAACCACATCCCTGGAGGGTTTTTGAATCCTCTTGCAGACATCTAACATCAGTTTTAGATTCTTGTTCAGCCATTCTCGGTGGGGGCCATATGGTCCCTGGGGGAACCCTGGCACATTTGAAGAGGGCCACAGACTGGAAGGAATTCTTCACACACCATCTTGTAAGGTTTGTTGTGTAACTTATACAAACCTGATGCTGCCTGTATTTCTTTCATATTGTGTTTGTAGCCATTGCCAAAAAAAGGTTGAGAATGGTTGGTCTTGTCTACAGTTTTACTGTACTATCCAAGCAGTGATTCTTAGTCTGAAGAAGTGGGGTTCCCCCATGAAAGCTTGCAATTTGATTTTTAGTGGTCCAATAAAAGATATCAGTATCAAATCAAAGATATTTGATACTAAAGTCAGTAAACTATATCGTCTGCATGTACATGGAATTGCTATGGGATGGAGATGTTGAAGACTTTGAAAAAGGCAATCATGAATTTTCACTCTGAATAGCTCTGGGCTTGCAAGGAACAGAAAGAGAAATAAAGGTTATACAGTAGACTGCAAATCTCCATTTTGAAAATACGAACAACTCCAATGCTGTTACTCAGTATTTAAGAGTTTTCATCCAGCTTCTAAGAGCCTGCTGATTTCCATCAAGGGTCCTTCCAGGCTCAGCAAGAGTGACCATTTGCTTTACATCAATTTGTGAACTCCCACCCCCAGTAGTGGGGACCAGATTTTCTATCATTTGTAAATTCTGGGTGGGAAATCATACTGTCTTTGAGAACGCTGCATAGCAATATGTGGGCTGAATACTGTAATACTATGCTCTAAATTAGGACTTGAGGGATTCTTTTCCTGAGGCTAATGGGGGTGTACTTTGGGGCACACATTTCACTGATTGCTTGTGGAAGTTCCCAGAAAGGGAACTTGGCCAATATGTATACTTACAAAAAGGAAACAAGAAAAAAGCAAATGACAGAAATTTACCAGAGCTTCTAACTCAGTACAAGATTACAGAAGAGTTAATTTCCCTTAGCGTCTAATCTGGCTCCACCTTTGGAGGAAGTGTGCATTGGGGCAGTAAAGGGATTAGTTTCAATGTTAATTATGCTTTGGTGTTGCTGAAAAGGTTAAGAGAGAATGTGAAAGTGAACTTTCTACAGAAATGGCCTGCTCAATCAGTTACTTAGTATTTTCATTATTCAACTGACAGCATAAAAGCATGGGAGTGAAGAAATCAGCATTAAAATGGATTCAGTTCAGCTGGAAGACATATAGAGAAAATATTACCAATGTACTTATTTTACTTAGAGCAAATGCTTTCCCCCCCCCAAAAAAAAAACTTGCCTCCCCTAAAGGCACAAATCAGAGCTAATTCAAAGATGTTCCCTTAACCTGCTAGTTTCCTGGCTAAGACACAATCTTATGTGTACTCCATATTGCAGTTAATGTTCAGAAACCCAAGCAACCATGTAAGCATACTGAAAGGTGTGCAGCTATGTGAATTATACAATTAATAATTGTGTCATCAAGTCAGCAGTTTAAATTTAGAAAGACAGGAGCAAGGCTCCCACCAAGCAAAAGCTGCGTTTCGGAAAAGTATGTGAAAAAATCTTCCTTGAAAAAATCAAACTGAATAAGGAGACTAATATTCAGACTAATACATGAGGCCTTTTTTTTAACCAAAGATTTTGAACAATTGTCTAAACCATAAGCAGGAAGCAGCTCAGAACAGACCCTTTAAAAAAACTGTTTCCTTCTGAGTGAATGCAGAGACAGAACAAACTAGGATGCTAGGGGACTAAATGGTTCAATCAGCCACTTTGTTTGTTTGTTTGTTTGTTTTGGGGCTACTGGGAATGTTTGTTATTTTATTTGTGAGCTGCTCTGAGAACTCTGTCTAGGACTAAAGATCCAGGACAAACAGTATTTTATAAAGAAAAAAAAAAGGTTCTGGTGTGCTTTGAAATTATCAGAAGAGGCTAAGGAAATATTTTAAATGATATGGAAATTCCTATTTTCTTACATCTTACTATTATACAACATTCAAATTAATATTCTGATATAAGAATTTTAGCCACAAGTGACGTGGCTAAAGTGGAAGAAATACATCACAATATATCCAATATCTTACGTTACAATAGGCAATATGTGAACAACTTTAAGATGCAGACGAAGGCTGAAATTCTAAATGCTTAGAGGTCAAGCCCCAAGTAAATGCTTCTAAGTACATATGCGTAGGATTGTACTCTATATCCAGATAAAACCAATGGAATGTGCATGCAACAAATATAGTACCATCATCACCATCATCTTAGAACTGCAGAGCTGGAAGGGACCCTACGGATCATCAAGTCCAGCCCATCAAGGAGGAATCGAACTCCCAACCTCTGGTTCCACAGCCAGATAGCTAAACCACTGAGCTATCCAGCAGTTCTAGTTCTGTTGTTTTCAAAGGAACATATAAACAACTGGGTATATCATGACCAATATGAGTGTCTCCTGAACCTCCTGTAACCACAGGACCTCTATTTAAATGGGCATGTCCAACATTCTTTAGGGATACAAAGGGCACTCTTCTTGC